TATCAGAGTCATGTGATGAACTGTCCAGAGTCCACCCCGCCTTATGACAGCTACTGTGGATGGGATGCGTGGGAGAGTCACCAAACAGGGACTGAGAAATACCCCTGCTTAGCACTACTCATGGTTAAAACTCCACAGAAATGTGACTCGTCCTCACATGGCGAATAGAACAATGTGAGCTGCAGCGCCTTGAGGCAGTTGAATTGAATAACTACCAGTGGACTTTTCTGTTTTAGCTTTTCATGGCTTATTAGCAGCAGGTACTTGTACTTTGATCTGTGCATGTCCTGTTAAATATAGCAGAGGTCTGTATATTTATGTGGAGGCTAAAGTATTCAAAACTGTGTAAAAAGTCAAAGACAGAGTTTGGTCGCTTGCAGCGATCTTGAAAGTCAACATTTGTTACAACATCTTCAACACAGTCTGAACTCTGTTCTCTGTCAAGATGATCCCACACTGCTTCTATGATGTTGACATCTGGCTCTGGGGAGGCCAATCCATGGGTGATAGTGTCCCACTGTGTGTTTTATTGCTTTGGCAGTATGTTTGGGTCATGCTCAGATGCTTTCCAGTATTGCATGGTGGATAAAAATCTAAATGTACCTCATAACTGTATCTTTTTCATGAGCTGTTTTTAAGGCCACACTGCACACCGTGCAGAGATGTGCTAAGTTTTTGGCTAATGGCTCTTTGGGAATCGGCATGTTATTTTGTGTCTGTCAAACTTTGTTATCCTTGATATTTTTCATAGATTCAGCTAAAGAAATGGGAACAAATTATGTGTTTTTGTGCCTAAAAGTACAATTTAAAATTGGTTCTTTGCTAAGTTGTCTGTTTTGTGTTGACACAGCAGTGGTTCGTCCCTTCAGTCCCTGAGTTAAAGGGCCTTTTTTTAGTCTTGACTGATTTATATGTTTGTCTTGTGGCTTAACAAACAAACCAAACATTTCTCTGATGATGACCAAATACAAGGACTGGACTGAAACTGAGTGAAAAAGCAGCCAAAGAAGAACATTGAAAGAGCTTCAAAAAGCCTGGAGAACTATTCCTCAAGAGCACTTCAAAGAATGTCTGCAAAGCCTGGCTGCTCGGAAGTAAAACACAAAGAAATCAGGACTAAATCAAGACTTTTGCATAGTATGTATTGAGCATAGTTGGAGAAAAAATGACACCAAACTGGGATTTTTAAAAATGGGTGATGTCAGTACGCCCCCTATTGGCTAAATTGAGCTGCATTAAAGTTTTAGCTCTGGATAGCACAGCTCATCTACTTTGTAGTAATATTAAATCTATACGTCTGATGTTAATAAAAGAAAGACAAACAGACTAAAGAAGAAATGCGCAGCTACACATGCACGTCACCTTGAATTCTGACAGATTTTATTACTCTAATCAAACCAACAGGTGGACAGTTTCTGGTTTTCAAGACAGTCACAGCATGAAACCACTGACTCTCGTACATGTTGAGTGTTTTATTCATTGTTTGTTTTTACACACAGCAAATGACCCAAAATTCAAGCATCTACCTTTTGTGGCAATTTCATGGCTTCGAATATCAGATGAAAAACTTATGGATCCATTTTTGGTGATTTTCTTTTCAGTGTTTTGACTTCAGCTGAGGAATTTACTGCTCCTCTGTGAGCCGAGGGAATTTATGCACCTCATGAAGCTCTTTTTTTAAAAACCCAGCGGATGAAGTCGAAAATGCCCCGAAAAGCCTTAATTCACAAGGTTTCCACACAACTTTTATTTTCGGTAATTTCACAGACGACATTGGAAATATGAGGACATTAAAGACACCGACCTCACCTCACCGGGAACACTGATATGAGCTCTTATGGTACACTGGATAACACGGCCGCACAGCCGTGGAAATGAGAATGCGTCACGGTTGCCTCCTCTGCTATTACACAGTGTTGTAATCACACACACATATTCAACACACTAAAAACTGAGGAAACATCTTAAAAAATATTAAACTGGTGAGCTGCTGCTCTCTGTTTTATGCACAAAGCGTCTCTTCTGAGATTTACTGCAGTCGTGACTGACAGGAACACGGGCTGAACTTTGATTTTGAAGTGCTTTGGGAAATCCATGTTGGGAAAACAGTTTGAGACCGAATAATTTATAGCACTTGGTCTGAAATTCTGATGGGAAGCTGCAGATAAGACATAATGATCCCCTCGTGATCCCTTGGACTCTGTGTGGATTTTTGTGGAAATGCACTTTGTAGCAGCACAAAGATTTACTTTGCAAACCTGAGCTAGGCTGCAGATTTTGCACATTGGACATGCAATATTTCGATGTCCCAAAGATGGATAGCGAACTAACTAAATAAAATAAAATACCATGCATTCCAGAGTGAATTACTTTGTAAATGCAAATTGCAAAAAGTAACAAAGAACGGTCAGCGGTTTCTTCTTGTTTAGAAAGAAAGAAAACAAACCAAATATAACCCCCAGCTCAGCCTGTTTTCATTAAAGTGCTGGAAAGAAGCCCTCTCTGAGAGAAAAAAAATTGAGACTGAATATAAAACAGAAGTGCAGACCAGAATTACGCCGCTTTCATTTTAGCGAGACAGGTTCAAAGACGTGCACTGAGCCCAGTCCAAGATTTTCTCTTAGTTTTCAAATACGACCAGATGGATTGTTTTTGTTTGACTCGAGGCTTCGTCCAGGTCTTTGAAACCAGTCCCGCACGTCTGGCTGCAAAGATGGAGGTTTTAGTCTGAGTCCAGCTGATTCCTTTAGCGTACACTCTCATCACAAGACCTCAATACACATAAACAGCTAGAAAAAAGAAGAAAACAGTGCAAATACCAACGCTGTGCTTCACAACAGCTTCGCAGCGCTCCTCATCTGGAAGACGAGAGGCAGAGGTGACTGACTCTTTGGTTGCTGTCGTTGGAGTAAATTTAAAGGGATACGATACAAAAAACCTTTAAAACAGTCGTACACTGAACATATGTCTTAGTGTTGCGATGCATAAGATTTTTGAGGATCTTTGTGCAAAAAAAACCCCAACAAAATTCAGATCATATCTTATACCTTAGGTCACAAGTTGTCTAAAATGTCACTACATACACATGTATCACACCCTGTTGTCTAAATGTTTCATCATTTATCACACAATTCTTAACACGTCACACAAACACAAAACAGCTTCAGTGTCTCTGTATTGTACTTTTTAAATGTATTGCACGCATTTCTTCCCCATTCCAACACTTGACACTGCATATTCTTTTCAACATAAAAGTAAATGACCATTGGCTAAATCCCTGCCCGGCATAGTGATTGTCCAGTTTCTCCACAGTGCAGAGACAGAGTTTTTCCAGTGCTCGTCAACAGGTACCGGAGAAGACCAGAGAGCCTCACGTTTCACAAGTTTATAGTGAAATTCAGGCATTGTGTCATTATTCTATAGGCACTAACTGTGCATAATACATCATCTGAAGTATGTGTAATATTGGTGTAAATCAGACAATTAATTTTATGTTATTCATATACGGTGGGGGAACTAAATATTTGATCCCCTGCTGAATTGTAAGTTTGCTCCCTTCCAAAGAAATTAATAGTCTCTTTGATGGTAGTTTCATTTTAATGGAGAGAGACAAAATATCACCCAAACATCCATCTGCTGCTTGAAGATTGTCTAGGCCAGTGTTTCCCAACCACTGTGCCGCGGCACATAGGTATGCGTGCTGTGGAAAATTATCTGGTTCCACCTGATTAGTACTCTAAGCGATCAGCCTGAGTAACAGGCAGAACAATTACATTCTCTTCCACTAGAGGGCAGTACAACTACCTGCTCTAATTAAATGGGTTGCCAACTGCCAGTAAAACAGAAGAAGACGAAGAAGAAATTGCATAATCCGGTTGTTCAGTGATGACACGATGAATCCTACTTCCGGGCCTAAAGTAGTCTGCGTTTAATATGGCTTTTGTGTTGTTAACATGTTTAATGTTTTGTATTTTCTTCTATTTAATCTCAAAAAGCTCCTAAAACAGTCAGTGATCACTGCTGACCTCCCTCGGCTTTTATTACCACTAATCATTTATTTAAGCTCAGTTTTTAAAACCTTAGGATGTAACTACAGCCCAGCCCATGCAGCAGTATATGAATGGCTAACCTCGTATTATGGATGGATTATCTCAGTTGTTCTCCTGGCTGAAGTTTGGTCCTTTTACAGCATCCTGCCATGCGATTACATTTGTTCCTGACCACCGAGAACACTCACGTTAACTTTTATTGAGTGGAAAAAAAGTTAGCTTGTTTATATTATGCTAACATAGCTGTGTCGCTAGCGGTCACGTAGCACATCATTATATACCAGCTAGCCAAACTTCAGTAACCCTACAAACGTCACTGCTGTTTAGTTTTCTGTCTTCATTTATGCTGGAAGTGATAACAGAGCTGTACGTTTTAATTTGTTTCCAAAACCCCGCAGTCAGGACATGCTATATTGTATTTAGATAGAAGCTAGCGAGCTAACTTCCTGCTAACTTCTAACTCCGTTAAATGTCATAAATTCTGTTTTCATGGATGCCTGGATGTTAAACTCAATTGTTACACCTGGTAGAGCAGAACGCTGATCATTTTATTAAAGATGAAAGACTTTAGACAGTTTTTCAACTCTCAGTAATGCCATAGTGATCGTTTGATATATGGACCTGCAGCGGAGTTTAGACCCGGACACGGCTAGTGACGTCAGACTGAACAACCGGATAGTCATGCTGTGAGACCACGCAGCGCGCAATAGCAATAGATAAATATCTGAAAAGAAAAAGTAGTCAGTTTGATCTGGGTCCTGGAGAAGATTCCGGCCCTTGCAGTGGTCAAAAAAAAAAGAAAGAGGTATACTGGGGACAAATGAGCCAATTCCACTATACCTGGTGTGCATGGGAAAATGATCAATATGCTCTTCGTGACATTTTTGTTTGGTAGCGTTTGCTGTGCTTTTTCTAATGTGAAATATGTGCTGTGGCTCCAAAAGGTTGGGAAACACTGGTCTTTTATCTTTGTGGGTTTTGGGGTTTTTTGCTGGAAGACCCATCCATGACTCATTTCAGTGTTCTGACTCAGAGGACAAAGTTCTTGTCCAAGATTTCATGGTACAGTGAAGTGGTCCTGTACCTTTAGCTGTAGCATGTTTCCACCTCCGTGCTTGACTGTGGGGATGGTGGTGTTTGGGTCATACTCAGCATTTCTCTTCCTCCAAACATGGCAGGTTGAGTTGATTTTCTTTCTCCCAAGCTTTCACTGAATCATTCAGCTGACAAACTTAAGTCAGGCCTTCTTGAAAAGAAGAACTTTACAAGTGTTGTAAGATTTCAGTCCATTAGAGAGTAGTGTGTTAGCAATGGTGTTTTTGGTGACTGTGGTCCCAACTGCCTTCAGATCTTTAATAGTGCACTGGTCTACCACCTGTCTCATGATTATCCTCAGCTCATGAGGCAAGACCTTGCATGGAGATCTAGGCTGAGGCTGACTGATGGTTCTTTTATGTCTTCTATCTGTGATGGTCCTGTAGCCCATCCCATTCCTGTGCAAGCTTACAATCTTGTTCCTGACATTGACTTTGACAGATCTTTGTTCTTGTCCATGGTGGTGGAGAGACTGAAATGTGGAATCATTAATTCATTGATTGACTGTAATCCGTGTGCCACACACAGCCAATCTGTGGGAGCCAGAATTCTGACTGGGTTGTAGGGGATCAAATACTTATTTCAGTCAATGAAAATATGCAATTCCGTTTAGAACTCTTATGTGATATGTATTCTGTCTCTCTCCATTAAAATGACAGGTATTTTAAAAGTTATATCTCTTAAATATTATACTGTGGTAGGGGTGTGTTTCTACCAACTTTAAGTGATCCGTAAAGTAAAGGCTAGTTACCAACATGTAGGTGACGTTTGCTGCATAAAAATGGTGAAAAATGTTATAGTTAATATGCAACACATTGCTAAATGGCTTTAAAGTTAGAATGTTAAGGAAGGCAGGGATTAGCAAACAGTCAATAAAAATCAGCTTGTCAAGTTTTGGAAAGAGGCCACTGAGTGGTGCTCCATCCCTGCAGTGTGTGGCCTGACCTCATGGCTGCAAAGGTCACGAAAGGTCATGAGGGTTGGGTTAAGGTTGAGCCAGGTGCTCCAGCGCCTCCCCCTCGCAGCGCATGCAGTGGTAGCCCATGGAAGCAGTGATATCGAAGCTGCCCTGGCTGAGGTAAAAGTCCATCGATGGTTTGTTCCAGTCCAGGACGGTGAAGTTGAGCTGGTGGCAACCAGCAGCCAGAGCCAGCTACAGGAGAGCAAAAACAAGAAGGAAGACAGGAATGACTGCTGTAGATGTAGCATGGAAGCTGTTTCTGCATGCTGCCTCTGAGACACTGTTCAGCATATTTTCCTGCAAATATTGAAAACAGGAAAATGCTCAAGGTTTACCTTCTCCATTATTCACGTTTCACTCACCTGTGCCACCTTGCTCATTAGTGCTTTACCGACACCTTTCCCTGAAAGACAGATCACGTGCATTACTTGAGATTTCCTGCAAATATAGGGTCAGAGTGATGATGAGACATCTTCTCAGAGGCTGTACTGTACCTCTGAACTCAGGCATCACATACAGGTCCTCCATATAAATGGCTCTGCCTGACCAGGAGCTGTAGGAATAGAAGTAAAGTGCATAGCCGATCTTTGTGTGCCCTGAAAGAAGAAAACAGTTTGAGCATGTAAAAATAACCGTTATTTAGAAGAAGCAAAATTCAGCATTCATGAAATTTGTGTATTCGTTTTGGTGCTCCTTCCCACTGAGTGAATGACTCTGAACATTTAGCACAGTGATTATTAACAGCATAATGCTTTACATTACACTGTAAACACATAAATATGTATCATTTCCCTCACATCAGTGAAAAAAGTGATATGAGTCGTGGTGCTGCTCACAGTTAATGTGCAACAATCTTTATAAATGAAACCTCATATTTCCCAGTGGTGAGGCTGGTTAGGTCATTTTAACCACTATTACTTCTCTTTTTTGTTTTTGGTTCCTTGGAGGCAGCAGAACATCTGGAGTCATGTGTCTAGTGACTTGATGAATCTGATGATTCTGAGTCCAAAACTGTTTGGCTGCTAACTTCTCTGCTGATTGGCTCTGGACAGTTCATGGATTTATTGAATTTTTTCAGCAGCTCAAAGCAGCACTGATGAGAGCGGAGCACAACTTTAATGAGATCCAAGACATAAGTAGCTACTTCTCAGTATAGCCTCTGATAGTTGAAGCCTTCAGATAGTGGACAGCGGTGACTGTGTGGAAAAAGGCCCGTGTCATGGAAGGAAAAAGCACAGCTGGGCAGCAGAGCGTATATTAATGGTCTAATTACTGCATTCTTAGGAAAAGCACTTCAACTTTGTTATGTAAGAAGTGTTTTAGGAGGGAGGGTACATGTGCTGTGTGCTGCTACATTAGGTAACATAAGTAATAAATATGCAGGATGATGTAAATGGACGCTATATGGCAATTAATGTTTGTGTTAAGTGTAGCTACCGTTTTCCAGTTAGTGCGACACAAGTAATTATACAAAAATATATAAAATGTTAAACTTGTTTAGCTTTTTGTATCTTATAGTGCTGAAGTCTTGCTCTTGAGTCTACAGTTAGCTTAGTTTTTGACCTTTTGGCTTTACTTGATATACCTCTACAGTTTACTCCTGAGTTTTTCTTTTTGTTTCTCCTGCTCGCTCTCTCCGTTGGTAAGGTTCTGTTACTGTTAGCGGGTCGTCACCCATCAGTTTTAAGTTTGTGTCAGTAACCGGGTTACAGCTGTTAGACAGTAGATCGCAACAGTGTGTGAGAAAACTGGGCGTAACATGATCACCTTCTTTGGTTTTGTGCTGTTCTGGCACCTCAGCGATGATCCCGTGAAAGAACGGGTTCTTGGAAAAGCCATCCTGCTCCAAGTCTGAAAAGAAATTATAGATACTGTTACACGGTGTTTTCACAAGGGGAAATTCAGTTTACATTTAACAGTTTGAGGCTTTTTATCAAAATGTAATCTTAGCTAAGAGAGAGCTTTAAAACCAGTTCTTGAGCTTTTGTTGGAAAATACAGTGCAATGGTTTTTCCTCAAAGGTCCATAATTCCTAATTTTAGAATGAAGCTTCCTGGGAAAACCTGTTACCTGGTGGTAGAAACAAATGGCTCACAGACAAATACTTTATTATAGTGTGATAAAATCTACTGGGCTTAGATAAATATAACTGAACACCAAACTATACTTGATACAGAAACTTTATTTTTTGGTTAGAAGAGTTTTTCATCTGGACGATAAAGTCCACATTACATACTCTGTGTATTTATTCTCATTGCACTTCCTTTGGTAGTTTTCACATCCACAACTGAGTTCCCCTGAAGCAGCTGAAATCTGCATTAATCAAAATGTCTTTTTTATTGGCTTATTTGTTACACTGTTGACTTTACAGCTGCAGAAGAAGATTGTTTACTATTTTTTAAATAAATAATAACATTGATTTTTTCCAACATTTACACTGTGTGATATGTCCAACTAACTTTTATAAGGCCAAGAACACAATTTGAACCTCTATTTGAAGAGAGCGAGAAATGAGAGTCAAAGTTTGTAACCAATCAGAGAGAGTTGAGAGATTTGATTAACCAATCAATTAACCAAAAAAGCAGGAATGGTTTGACAGCTGGAGACCACTGATATTTTTCCCTCCTCATGTTTTCTGACTATTTTTTCACTAGTTTTTCCTTTGGCTAGGGTCAGTGTCACTACAGGTAGCATGAGGCGATACCTGGTCCCTACAAAGGTGGCACAAGTAGTCCCAACTCCTCCAGGATGGCACATCAATATATGCCATTGCCAGAGGGTTTGCTGTGTCTCCCAACACAGTCTCAAGAGCATGGACTCCAAGAGACAGGCGGTTACTCTAGCAGCTAGCAGAGCTAAAGAGGCCCATAGAAGGCCCTTAACCCATCAGTAGGACCAGGAGCTGCTCCTTTGTGCAAAGTGGAACAGGATGCCAGAGCAGCACAATGACCTTTAGCAGGTAATCGATGTGAATGTTTCTCACCAAACAATCAGAAACAGACTTCACAAGGAAGGCTTGAGGGTTCAATGGCCTCTATTTGGCACTTGCCATAGAATACCAGTATTGGCAGGTCCACCACTCGCACCTTGTGCTTTTCCCAAATGAGAACAGGTTCACCCTAAGCACATGTGACAGATGTGAAAGAGTCTGCTGAAGCTGAGGAGAATGTTCTTCTGCCTGTAACATTGTTCAGTGTGACTGGCTTGGTTTGGTTGTGGTCAGTGCTCATCTCGGGGGCTATAGCCAAGGGGGGACACATAGACCTCTACAGGCTCGGCAGCTGACAACTTATGTGTTTAATTCAGGAGCACTTCTCTGACTAAAGATAGCTAACTGACAACAACTAACTGCAAACGAGAGGAAAGTTGAACCTGAGGAATGAACAGAAGTAATTCTAAAAGACAGAAAACATTTTCCTGCATTCTCAAATTATGTCATATGTTGCTGTGTAGCTGGCAAGATTAGGACTCAGAAGTGACACTGAACTCAAAATTTAGGTTTATTGCTGGATTCACAGGGATCAAAAATACAAAAGAACCCAAACTAAGCAGATACTAGGATGCTAGTTTACTAACTAGGAAACTACACAGAAGACATTGAACGTACGGGACATACAGCAAGAGGGAATGAGGGACGAGGTGACAAAGGGCAGAGTGATGGAGTGGAGACACCTGTGGAACACAGCTGAACAGAATCCATCTAAAGAACCAAAGGAAGTGAAACTGAACAGGATGAGAGATTGACAAAATGAGACAGGAAACATAAACACAGAGACAGAAACCCAGACTCAAGGCATAATGACTTGCCGCAGAAAAGCAAACAAACACAGAGACATGACCGACTAAGGAGACAAGACTCATTTGAGGCAACTAACAGGGAGACTAGACAACCGCAGAGACGGAGCACAAACAGACAGACATGGAGACATGACTAGAGAACAGACAGGGACCACAAATGATGATAACCCAATAATGCAAAGCCCAGAAGACAACTAAAATATAAACAAACTACAAAGGATTTAATAAAATACTCAAGGAAGACTACTAATCATAGTAATATACAAAAGGAGCCAGACTAAATACAGACACAAAAACCTTTAGAGGAACACAAAGCCTGGAGCCCATGGCCCGGGGACTCTGACACATTAATATGATGGATGCTTTGTTTATGGTGTTTACACTTGTTTGTGATGCTCTGTGATACATTCACTATTGCTTTGTTATAACCTTATTGATGTTGGTTTTAAATGAAAAGAAGCTTCAATATGTTTAGTTTAAAATACCCTGTGGCTCTCGCTTCTCAGTAAGTCTCTTTCTCTCTTCTACAATCTCAGACTGTGGTCCAACTTACATTTTGATGTTCTGCAAATATTAAATGAGTAATGTTGGTAAATGGACTGGTTCTTACTTCTACTCTAACTGAACACTCAAAGCACTTTTATACAACTTGCCTCATTCACCCATTCATACAAGCACTGCTTTTCTATGTAAGTGCTTTCTGCCGCATTCACACTGCATCAGAGAGCAACTGATTGGCATGCAGACTGGAGCAGGTGGGGATTGAACCAGCAACCTTACGATTAGTAGGTGACCTACTCTGCTTCTTGAGCCACAGTCGCCCCATTTTTGAATAAAAAGTTCTTTTGACTTTTTGTGTTGTAAAGTTCCCAAAGACTGAGTCTTGAAGTTCCCCTTTTCAGGCATTTATAAATCCTTTGTAAAGTATAGATGGTCCTCACAACAGATGTGGTGACACAAAATACTGAACTAATGACAACTGCCTGAATTAAACATGGATTAAAATCTGACATAAGTAGTTATAAAAGCTCCATTAACACACTCACAAATCTGTATGTGTATAAAGCTGCTTTTAAAAACTTTAATTAATTCACCCAGACTTTCTAAATGATACCAAAACAAATAACGTGGTTTTACTCGATGTAATAATTTATTTGTTATTAAAGATATTATATATGTGCCTATAAAGCAAGACTAAACATTTATATCCAAGTTTATAAATTACATTATAATAACCACACACTCTTAATCATTATTAAGCATTATGGATAAAATCAAGGCAGAAACTTGAGACATCGCTACATACATTACCTTTCTGGGTCACTTTCACATGCTCTGCCAGTTTCTCATACTCTGCCAGTTCCTGGACATAAACAAAAATAGCATCAGCTGCCATCATTTATTAGGACATCCCAGACATCAGTGTTGCTCAGCTGGTAGTAAACATGTCATTTACAGGCAGTTTATTAGCCTGAAACTAACGAGCAGGACGAGCACAGTTCATGCGATAATATCTCACTAATCTAATAATAACAGCAACACCGTGTTTATGAAAAGCCCTGCTGACGTAAGCCACTACAGGCTACTTAATAATGTCCTCGGAGTCATACACACAGCTGGACCGCACGCGCGCACGTGCACGTGTCCGCTCACCATGATCATCCGCGCGATGTCCTTGCAGTCGTCCAGGTTGGCCGCGCGGATGGAGAAGTCCATGTCGAGTGGATGTGATGCGGTGATGCTCACAGTGCTGCTCCGGCCTGTCGGAGCACGGATGACGAGCACTTGGAGAAGTACCCAGCTCTTCGTCTAGCCTGGACCAGCACGCCACAGCCTCTCCACGGAGGATGGAAACTGAATAAAGAGCGCCCTCCTCCAGGTAGGAGGTGACAGGGGAGTGAGTCAGCTCCTCTTGCGGACTGAAAAGTGCACCCGAGGATTAGAGGACGTCCATTAACAGGCTTTAGCTGCAGTCGTTTAAGAGATTGCTTCCGGATGCTTTCAAGAGCAGCATCCTTTTCGCTTTATTGGTGTTCCTCTGCCTCCTGCAGGGGCCAGAGGGATCCTCTAGGGGGCCCCAGCGTAAAAAGCATACACCGGTTCCCCTTGAAGTGTTTTCCCGTATTTAAACTGTTATAAATGACTTTTCACTAATCTGTGAAACGTGTCGAACATATCAAATCATTTTGAGCCTCAAACAACACAATAGCACCAGTCATGTTTATTTATTCAGCTAAAAAGTCTTATCGATATTAAAAGTGTCTTTTTATAAAGAGATCTTCCAAGAAGGCAGGTAAATACAGATGGTTTAAGTGGCCAAAAAACACTGGGTTGATTATCATGTAGGAACAATATTTATTTTTTATTGAACCTTATTTTGTACAGGTAGTTCCTTTGAGACTCAATGTCTCATTTACTGTGCTTTGACTGTTCTTCCTGTCCTACGCAAGGCCACCTGGGTTGGCTGGAAGACTGTTTACTTAGCTCGGCAGGGCGAAGGACACTGTCTCAGCTGAACTCTGGACACACACAGACGCATATATACACATGCAGATATACACTCATCCCCCCCTCCAAACGCCTTCGACGCCTATTCCCTTCCGATGCTGACGGTGGATCAAGGAGACCAGCGCATGTGCTGCAGGCCCGGATGCACTGTCTACACTGGCTGTCTCTCACCCTTTACCCACCCCTGTTGCTTGTCATGTGTTTCTTTGGTGTATTAAGAGTTTTTTCATGTGCTATGTGCAGAGGTGTTTTTTTCTGTTCTCAAACTGATCTCCCTGTTGGAGCTCAGTCTGGGGGAAGTTATTTTTTTTCTCCTTATCTTTCCTCATGTGGTGCATTTTCCATTGTTATACCTCTCTGACCCGTCTTCCCCATGTGATCTTTTGTGTAATGTATGTATGGTCGGAGGGTAAGATGGCGCCGCCATTGCGTGCAATTGGTCGGCAGCCTTAACATGAAATTTCCCACTCGTGGGACTAATAAAGGTATCTTATCTCTTACTATAACGCAGAGCCATAAAGATACTTGCAAAACAGGTCATTATTTTATATATATCCTATTATCTAAACCGTGTTCACTACAATCTATTTACTAATATAAGCAAAGATTTACACATGAAAAACACACAGAAACATCAGATATCACTTTTTTGGCTCAACACCTTCCGTCTCCTTTCAGCTTTACATTTATTAGCTCTACAAATGCACAGCAGCCTCACTCAATCACTTGCATTTTCCTCCCTCTTTGTTGGATTAAACCTGCTACCCCTGCAGGATTTGCTATTAATTTCAGTTAATGTAGGAGGATGCTTGATCCATCAAAGACTTGCATACTGTACAGCAGTTTAAAGGTCCATGTTTTCGCACAAGTTTACCACAAATCAAAGCTGAAAATATAGATTTAAAAAAGGTAATTGCTGCAAAGTAAACATTGACCCTGGGGGAGCTCAGAGAGTTTTGGGCTCCAGGACAATTACCTGTTTTCCTTGGCTGCTAATCCAGCCTTGCCTCTACAACGAATCAAGGCAAAAACTTTCAACTTATCAAAGTTTACATGTTCAGGGTCATTAGGACCAACAGGATAATTTAGCTCCATCTCAAACAACGGAAATATCAGCAAGTAAATGTTTTTCCGTTTAGCCTCTAGGGGGCAAAAGGAGGCTTTGGAGTTTGGCTTGTAGCTCCATCTCTGTGGGTGCTGCTCTTCTCAGTGCAGTCACAGTGACTCCTCTAGTTTCACAGAATCAAACGAAAGTACACTAGATTCATCCACAGACGCATTAAAGCAGCAGGCAGCGAGTCTGCGTGGTTCAACACCCACTGCTGATACATAACAGCGGCCTCTGCGTGGGTGACAGCGTGTGGATGGAGGATTCGTTTTATTTTTTTAAATCATAGTCTACAAAACTTATGAGATTTTTATTTTTTTTAAGGTCAGCTAAAAAATAATTCACAGAAGCAGGCAGACGGAGTTAAATTAGGCTCAGATGTGATGATGCAGAGTGCGGACATGTAATCAAACTGTGAACCACGGCTCCAGAAATAATGATGATCTCATGACTTTATGCTGGTTCTCACAGGACGAAGGTTGAGAAACAGAATAAAGTTCCCTACAAAAAAGAGAGAGAGCAGAGTTAGAGGAACTGAAAACGCCTTCGACATCTCAGTGGGAGCGTTATGAAAGTCTGGAGTAGATTAAGGATCGTCATGCTGCAATTAAGACAATAATCGGTTTAAGAGTTGCTTCCTGAAAAGTACAAAGTACAAAGAGAGGCGAGTCTTCAGCTGTCAGGCTGCTCTCCTGTGTTACCGGCTCTCAGGTTGAATCGAGCTTACACCTTCTGTAGTTTAAGATTTGGCTTTAAACTTTCATTTTGATAACAGTTATGCCTCTGCTGCATGTTATTAATGTTTGTCTACTCTCTCCTGTGTGTGCTTCAGGGTCTCTCTATGCTACTCCCCCCCCCCTTCCCTTTCCCTTCAATCACCAATCAGATGGCTGCCCCCCTCCCTGAACACGGCCCTGCTGGAGGTTTCTTCCTGTTAAATGTTCTTCCTTCCCACTTTCACCAAGTGCATTCTCACAGGGGACCATTTCATTGTTATGTTCTTTCTCTGCTATTGTACTGCGTTTATTTCACTACACGAAGTGAATGTTTTTTTGTTAAACGCTGACAGAATTGAATCAAAGCTGTGAAATGCATTTCCCCCCCGATTCAAGCATCCCCCTTCGTCAAACTCACAATGGCATTCGCTCATAAAAACAGAAGTGGTTCAGGGAAAATACCACATGGGTTAGATCACTCTCTGACACCAGCTGCTAAACGATGAGTTTCAACAGCCATGTCAGCAAATGCATACCCACAGCCAGTGGGCAAAGTCTGCTGAAGCCCCTCTGAGTGATATTTTACTGGAATTTAACAGCCTTATTATTCACAGTGATACAAACACTGAGTATGTGCATTTATTATACTTCAGAGCTGTAATTAATTGCAGTTTCAGGGTAGTTGTACTTGACAGTTGAGTATTGAGCACTGGATTTCTACTGCTCTATGGGAGCTCAAAGGAAGATGAATTTTTTTTTATTTCACAGCGTTAGTTTAGTAGTGGATTTAGACATTTTGACACAGTAAATTAGGTGGCAACAAGTATTTGTGCATACTGTTGCTGCTATTCTTGCTAGGATTGGAGTCTATCTTCCATTAATCATATGTTTTCCATGGGAGCTTGTTGCGTTCCTGTGGAAAACATATGATTGTGTAATGATGGTCGATGTCAGGAGAGGCTTTTTACTCACCCACAAGCAAACAACACCTAATTATTCTGTTTGATTTACGCTCCACAACATGCCGTGAGGCTCTTATTTTAAAGCTGTGGTCACGTCAAGTTTCTCCTGCTCACAAATCAGCAAAGCCTTTTATTTTTTTCATGTTCATTCATAAGGTGTCACTTAATCCAGAAGCCAAAACGGATGAAATGGCGTAAGAATGTATTAACGGCTCTTTTACTTTGCATCTGACATTTACCGAAATAAAACGCAAACACAGGTGGGCGGTGGCTTTTCTCCCAGCCGGTTGCGACACAGGGAAAAAGCTGCCAGTCCTGTTTTAACTTCATACTGGGTGGGCAGCCTCCTGCAGGCCTGTAAAGTCACCCACTTCCACATTTCGAAACGCCCAAAGCTCTGAAGCAACCAAACCCCTCCCCTCCTGAGAGTCCACACGCTTTCTTGTTGCTTGTGAAAATCCCACCCATTATCTGCTCTAATAAAATTACAGTTGCTATATATTAAAGCAAGGGAGAGGAGAGAAGCCAGCATGTGACCTCAAACCAACAACCTTCATATCATTGATCTGCCTCCCCAACCTTTGACCTACTGGACCCAGACAGTCACCAGTTAGTTCTGCAGCCCCATCCTGATACAGCGGGCTAAAACCACCTGTCATAAAGATACCCCATTACAGTAGTGTTACACTTATCTTTGATAATAGTTGCCTAATTAATTGTCAATCATCATTTGTGCATGCCTCTGTAATGAGTGACAAAACAACAGCTAAAACATTCCTTTTAAGCTTATCTTACCTGCGTTTCACACAGACTACACAAAAACTACAGCTGGCTTAGTCATGTGTGAAATCTGGTTTGAGCTAATAATTAATGAATGATTCAGAGGTCATCTCAGCGAGGCTGCTGTATAATCTCACATTAAGGCTTTCTGAGCCTATATGTTAACTCTTTGCATGCATTACAGTATAAATAAAAGCGACTGTGGTTTGCTTGAGGGCTAAAAATACATTTTGTTACCGATTTGTCACAGTACACGGCTCTATGCGGAGTAGTGGGTGGGGAGGAAATGAGCAGAGAAAGGGGGATTTTGTTGGGCTGGCTTCAAATTTGTTCTCCTGGAAAAAAAAAAAAGGCAGCCTATGTGCCTATTAATAGCTGTGTGGCTCTTTAAGGCTGACTAACGGCTCCTTTCATACGACGCAGGGAGAAAAGCGGAGCGCTGCCAGCGTTTTCATCAGCGGCCTCTCTGGAGCTGCTGATGACGTGCTTCAGACGCCACTGACCGTTTTTACAGACGCACTTGAGGACTCACAGGCAGTCAGAAGCAATAACACTGCATTAGTCAGTGCAGTGTGAGTGGGAAGGAGGCCACTGATTGGGCTCTATGCCGCTGACAAATGCTACAAAAACCCTGAAAAAAGCATTGGTGGTGCGCAACAACACAACTCTCATGTCATACTTATTTAGCTGTAGGTTACTAGTGGTGTAGAGAAAGTAATTATACAAAAGCAGTATGCAGTGTCTTTACTTCACAGCATTTTTTTTAGCTTGGTGCCTGCAGCTTTGGCCAGGAGCTGCTTATCTTAGGAGAGATTTGTATACTTTCTCTGCCTAAAGGCAACAATATTTATCTATTACAACATCTAAAGCTCATTTAAATTACATGTTTGCTTGCTAGTCAGGCCAATATCCTTTTATAGGCAAGTCCTGAAACTTGGTAGCC